CCCGCGGACGCCGGTCATCTTCTTCAACCACTACTGGCCGCCGTGGGAGTGGCCAAAGCACAAGCCCATCTACCTCATGCCCAACATTGAGATGGGCGAGCTCAAAGCGCAGCAGTACTGGAGCGCTTAGCGTCGTCATCTGCAAGTCGCGCGACTGCTACCGCCGCGTGACCAAGTGGTACGAGCAAGAGGGCAATCCGAATGGTGCCGCCGTCTTCTATACGCGGCACACTACCGCCGACATTGCGGGCCACATTGCCCGCAAGCTCGGTCCCGGCGCCATCAAGCCCAAAGACTACCGCAACAACGTTCGGTTCACGCACTCGGCCGGCGGGAGCGTCAGCAAGGGCACGGACCAGGTCATCGAGTGCTGGCTGGCACGACCGGATCTGCCGCCGCTCGACCTCTCAATGAGTCAAAGTCTATACGATATGGGTTATGGTGAAAAGTACGCCGAGCAAATCGCAGCCGCCAAGAACATCAACTTTCAGCACAGCGCAATCAGCGAAGAGACGTTTGGGAAGCGACTCGCCGAGACGTCTTTCTTCCTCTGTGCGAGCCGATGGGAGGGCTACGGTCACTACATCAACCAAGCGCGCGCGGCCGGCGGCGTCATTATCACGACGGATGCGCCACCAATGAACGAGCTCATCGTTGTGCCCGAAAGCGGCGTTTATGCCAAGACGGTCGTGCATCACCACCCGCACCAGATTATGGGCGGCCGCTCGGAAGGCGAGCACGGACTCCGCGATGTTAGCGGTCTCCAAGCCGACTACTCACCGGGCGATCTCTGCAACGCCGTCAACCACGTGCTACGACTGTCGGGCGGCGAGCGCGAGCGCATGGCCAAGGCGGCGCAACAGCAGTACCACGACGACACCAAGTTCTTTGCGACCTCTATGCGCAACCTCCGCGCGTTTGCGCGCGCCCAGCTGCGCTCTAATACGACAGCCGCCGAGGTCGCGGCCGGCAACTGGCAAGACTCGGCGGTGCTGGACGTGCTGTGCGTGTAACTTGCAATGCCAATATATAATTGTGCACTTTTTCATTCATTTCTCTCCGCCCAAGCCACACAATGCATCCATCACCAGGTCGCCAGAACGAGTACTTTGCGCTTGAAACTGAAATGACCGAGACATGGTACGTTGGCAGAGAGCGCTGTGGAGAGCACGGAGTGCGAGGTCGCGTCGCCGTCCGAGGCGTCCAGCAGTAGCGAGACGCGATCCAAGATGCAGCACACAAAACTAAGAACGTAGTGTCATCTTAGAGGCACCAGTCCAGGACGCCGATGCCACTTGGTTGACAACATTATGTTTGAAATGAAATCGCCCATACTTGGCACTATGATAGAAGACACTATGGAGAGCAGAGCAGTCCACGCTACGTTGCCGATGCAGTCGTACAACGCGCGCAGTGCTTGATTGAAGATACAAAGCACTCTGTAAACGTTATAAAGCAAAGAACCACGGTGGCATGCCGAGGTTTTCGTCTTCTACACTTGTAGTCACGCGATCGTCGTAGTCGTACCGTCGTTGTCGCCGGAATCGAGAGTCTCCCTCAACACCAAGCGTCGTACACTGCACAATTTCGTACTTTTCAGTCTTTCTCGTGGCGCGATTCCATCCAAACCAACGCCAGATCGACCACATTGCGTTTTGAAAATGAACTCGCCAAGATCTGGCACACTTGTAGAGGGCGCTTTGGAGACCACAGAATGCGAGGTCGCGTCGACGAGCGAGGCGTACAGTGGCAGCGAGACGTGATCCACGATGCACGCCAAACTAAGATCGTAGTGCCATCGGAGAGGTACGACGCGCACCTAACTAAGATCCTAGAGCCATCTTCGAGGCACCACTCCACGATGCGGACGCCACTTGTCGACCACATCGCGTTTGAAATGGAATCGCCCAAAGTTGGCACATTAATAGAAGACACTTTGAAGTACAGAGCAGGCCACGCTACGTTGACGCTGCAGTCGTACCGCACGCGCAATGCTCCAGCACAGATACAAAGCGCTCTTAAAACGTTAAAAATGACCGCATTCAGTGCCTTCGACAAGAAAATATATCGCTCAACTAAAGTAGTCCATCCCATCACGGAAAGGCCTCGAGTGGGAAATATCGACTCAATGACAGTTCGCGACTGAGTGTTCTCCGCCAACTCGACGCAGTGATGCGCATCCAGTATTGCTTTCTCCGCGTCTCCGTCACATCATGGTCAAGTTTGTCGTCACCGCGCTCGCACTCATCGCTAGCACTTTTGCGGCCGCTGCTGTCGTCGACACCCTGGCGGTGGGCGTCGCCGCCAAATTGGGCACCGAGACACAGCAGCACCTTCGCGAGGGCGGCCAGAAGGAGTGCTTTGGGTCGATCTGCGGTGGTGTTGGCTTTGGTTGGGGTCTTGGTGGCGGCTGCGGTCTCTTTCGCCGTTTCGTGCGGCGGCTGGTTCTAGACGCCACGTTTTGTGTGAAGCTACAACGTACGATATACCGATAACCGTCTATCAAATCAATGCTTCTCTTTGATCTACAGCCGTCTATCTCACCCAGGTAGAATTCACGCACTCATATCGCAGTCTCCTCGGATACATCAAGACCATGTCGTACGTTTCAGATCTACTTCGCGGCTGTGTCATGGCCATTGGGCGTAGCGAGGGTTGTCTCCTTCGGATTGCGGACGCGGCAACCTGAGGAGCTGGCTGACCAAGGCCGCGGACTGAAAGTCACGTGTCCATAAAGAACGCTTTGTGGTGCGTAAAGGCATGCTTGATGGTTATAAAAGTAAGGGTATAAACAAAAATGATGCATTTGGCAAAAGAGAGCGTCGTTCGGCTAC